CATATTTATATTTATATATAGACGTATATTTATATTTATATATATATATATATATATATTCATATACATACATTGTTTGCGTTTTTATATATTGATTTATTGTATTGCTACGAATGCTTTTCGCATGAAATCGTGTGATACATACTGTTCAATGCACCCGTTTTGTTTTCCGTGATGTATAGATTGGAACAGGACACCGCTTCGGACATTAAGACTTCTGATGAAACGTCTAAACACTGTGTAGTCGGTGAAAAAAATGCGGGGGTACCCAGCATATCGACAGATCACTATGGTAGCGTAGTACAATTAACGTGTACAATTTGGGAGGATGGATATGGCTCTAGCCAGCTATGCAGTATACACTCGCCTGAAAGTGATTGCAAGGATGGGAGTGAGGCTTTGGCTGCACTCTATAGTGCCAAACGTATGTCAGATGGTTGTCCTTCGCAGGCATGTATATCGGTGTACGATTTCGTGGGTACGGTTTCGCATACATAATCGCAGAACCAAACATAGGCTTACATACTAATGTATATATAGCATTTGATGTAGTCTAAGGATTATATATCGAATAAGCTGATCTACAGAGTGGACCACATAGCTCCAGGGTTTTAGGGTTTACATACCTCCGCAGTTAACAGTACTTCTCAGTTATACAGCAGACGCTGTGCTGTGTCCAGGAAAATAGTCCTTCACCGAAACAGTCTGCATGACCTACACCGAAACAATCTGCATGTGCAAAAGTATACGATTTGAGATCGAATTGCCTCAGAAGTGGTCAATAGGTCATATCATGGGCCAAGCAATTGGTATCTGGCACCTTTAAACATGCAGTGTACCTTGGTCCCTGTTTGTTTTTTTATTAATTCGGAATCTGTGTTTGGACTATGACTATTCTACCCGCTCAACTGGAAGGCTATGATTCTACACCTTTCGAATATATACCGTAAAAGCACCCGTGTTTTTGAGAGCAACTGGATTATGTACAAGTCATATTTTTTGTTTATAAAGAAACCCGCCAATTCCTGTCTGAAGCCAAATCTAATTTTTAAATCCTGCTACGTAGTTAACACCTTCACACTGTGTCTTTCAGCCACCATCTAGTAGTTGTCCTAAGGACCGTTTGATATACAAACCGATAGCGGCGCTCTACTCAACTCACAGCTTGATGTCTGTTCGTTACAGGTCACGAATTCCCTCTACTACACACGTTGCTTACATCAAGGGTTGGCAATGCAACACAGGATATGCAGTTCAAAAGCGTTAGCAACTGGGAACGGACTAGACTGAGGTGTGTTGTCGTTGTGTTAGCCGTATATGCGAGTCTGCTTTGTATGGAGCTTACTCAAACGTGTCTGTGCGTATATAGTACATACATATAGTTGTGGGTGTGCGCAGTTTGTGTGTGCAAGACATGTACATACATACATGTATACATATATGCATGATGCATGCATGCATATGTATGCATACATACATGCTTACGTATATACTTACATACATACATAAGTACGTTCATACATACATATCTATAAATGCATCCATACATAAATGCATACATACATACATGAATACATACGTACATGCATATATACATGCATACATATATACATACATACATACGTGAATACATACATACACAAGTACATACACAAGTACATACACACACACACACACACACACACACACACACACATATATATATATATATATTATATATATATATATATATTATATATATATATATATATATAAATAATA